GCAAACAGCAGGAGCGGCTTAAAAAGGCAGAGCAGGAAATCCAGGAGTGACCACAATGATGTACAGGATTAGAGAAACACGTCACATCTAAATCTGGAGGTCTACACTGCAGAACTGAAAATGATTACATCAAGAGGCATTTAATATCTGTTAATGAACAGTTTCTGTGCTTTGTGTTGCATTATGGGATGTTGATCTCTGCTCTGTCCACTTCTGATGCGGAAAATTCTGACATTTTAACTGACATTTTAGTCATTTGGGATAATATCTAGAGAAATTAAACTAAAATAACATAAATGTGCTGCAGTTTTATATACACTCAGCGGCCACTTTATTAGGTACACCTCACTAGTCCCGGGTTGGACTCCCTTTGCCTTCAGAACCGCCTTAATCCTTGGTGTTGTAGATTCATCAAGCTGCTGGAAATATTCCTCAGAGATTTTGCTCCATATTGTCATGATAGCATCACACAGTTGCTGCAGATTTGTCGGCTGCACATCCATGATGCCAATCTCCCGTTCCACCACATCCCAAAGCTGCTCTATTGGATTGAGCTCTGGTGACTGTGGAGGCCATTTGAGTACAGTGAACTCATCGTCATGTTCAAGAAACCAGTCTGAGATGATTGAGCTTTATGACATGCTGCGTTATCCTGCTGGAAGTAGCCATCAGAAGATGGAGACACTGTGCTCATAAAGGGATGGACATGGTCAGCAGCAATACTCAGGTAGGCTGTGGCGTTGATGCTCAATTGGTACTAATGGACCCAAAGAAAATCTCCCCCACACCATTACACCACCACCACCAGCCTGAACCGCTGATACAAGGCAGGATGATCCATGCTTTCATGTTGTCTGAGCCGAGCATCCGAATGTGTCAGCAGAAATGGAGACTCATCAGAGCAGCAACGTTTCTCCAATCTTCTATTGTACAGTTTTGGTGAGTCTGTGTGAATTGTAGCCTCAGTTTCCTGTTCTTAGCTGACAGGAGCGGCACCCGGTGTGCTCTTCTGCTGCTGTAGCCCATCCGCCTCAAGGTTGGCCGTGTTGTGTGTTCAGAGATGCTCTTCTGCAGAGCTCGGTTGTAAAGAGTGCTTATTTGAGTTACTGTTGCCTTTCTATCAGCTGGAACCAGTCTGGCCATTCTCCTCTGACCTCTGGCCTCATCAACAAGGCATTTGCGCCCACAGAACTGCCGCTCACTGGATATTTCCTCTTTGTCGGAGCATTCTCTGTAAACCCTAGAGATGGTTGTGCGTGAAAATCCCAGAAGATCAGCAGTTTCTGAAATACTCAGAGCAGCCCGTCTGGCAGACACAACCATGCCACGATCAGAGTCTCTTAAATCCCCTTTCTTCCCCATTCTGATGCTCGCTCTGAGCTGCAGCAGATCCTTTTGACCATGTCTACATGCCTAAATGCATTAAGCTGCTGCCATGTGATTGGCTGATTAGACATGTGTGTTAACAAGCAGTTGGACAGGTGTACCTAATAAAGTGGCCGGTGAGTGTACAACACCAATCCAAACGATATAGCACTGCAAACTATTACACGTTCAGAAAGACACTAACACACGTTTACAGGTTAAAAGCTGTTGGAAGAAGGATCAAGATCTTATAATGCAATTCACAAGGAGAAACAAACAGGGAAAATCTATAAATATAAATCACAAAATATGGAAACCTGCTGATTTATGGACATTTTTTACCGTAAAACTTAAAAATTAATTGAGCTTTGAGAAACAAGATAAATAATCTGGCAATGGGGAAAGCACAGTAATGTTTTTTTTTTAATTTAAGATTATTCTACTTTGACCCTCATTGTCAGATCATGAAAATGCTGAAGGATTTTAAATATTTAGACTAAAAACAAGATAAAAACACTCTTATTTTTGCCTCATAGCAGATGTTTATATGATTTACACATCATTAATTAAGCTCTTCCTCACAGATAAATGCCAGCTCAATCACACAGGACAGTACATCACCATCTAGTGTCGCAATCTGGGAAAATAATAATAATAAAAGCCCTGAAACACCAGCGTGTGAAGGAGCAGATCAGATGACAACACAAACCCTGGAGGATCAGAGGAAAACAGCACACAACACACTGCAGAACAGCCTTTTCTCAGAGATTTACTCTCTCTAATATGGAAAAACTCTTAAATTAAGATGCATTTTCTAGATAATCAGAAAACAGAGTGTTGTTTTCAGAAATAATGAGTCAAACTGAAGAGAGATTCTCCTTAAGACAAGCAGAATAACCAAAACAAAGTAAAATAAGCTTGCTTAAATGAACAACTCTCTTCGTTTTCTCTCATTATTTGTGGAAACAGCACTATATTGTCAATAAAACTCTCCCTGATTGACGTATTGTCAGATTTATGAAGCAGACAGAACTCTACATCTCTGAGCTGCGGTGTGGCCTCATTCTGTTTCATGCAGAGTCTGAATATTCAAGCTTACCTGAGTAAAGTCCAGACGCTTCTGCTGCTGTGTGCGAGTCTGTGGACAGAATTATTATTCAGAAATATTGCACATTCCCTCTCTCACTCTCAGAATGCAGATCCAAAACCTCCTAATGTCTGCCGTTCAGGAATTCCACTTATTTGGGAAACACAACACTTGACTTTAATATTGCTTTAATGCATCTTATGTGAAAGGAATGGGATGCTCTCTCTCTCTCTCTCTCTCTCTCTCTTGCTGTGTGATGGACAGAATGCATGAATATTAAATTAGCGGCAGGAATGTCCTCTGTGGAGAGCATATTTAGGGATCCTTTAAGCTGTCAGGAATGCTTTGTGGTTGGATAACTCCGGCAGAAATGTTAATAATGCCGGCTCCTGCCCAGACCAAATATGGTAATATTGTTACGTCTGGAGTCACATCTGGAAGCACTCGGAGAGAAGTTGAGTCAAGAGAGAGGAGCGAGAGCGGACAAAAATAGACGCCGTAAAGTTTAACTTCTGAGCAGTGCATTCTAGGAGTTTTTTTTAGACATATGTGAACTCTAAATCCAACAGTTTAAATGTGTGGAGATTTAAAGAGACAGCTCAGCACAAACAAACTCAAGATTTACACATTATTTACTCGCCTTCGACTGTTTTCAAACACGAGTTTCTTTCTTCTGTTGAACACAAAAGAAGATATTTTGAAGAATGTCAGAAACCGGTAACTATTGACTTACACAGTATTTGTTTTTCCTACTGTGGAAGTCAATGGTTACCGGTTATCAGCATTCTTCAATATGGGTGAGATACAAACTGTTTTGTTGTGAGGAATCATAAACAGTAAAGAAGATATTTTGAAGAATGTTGGAAACTGGTAACCACTTGTATAGTAGCAAAAACAAATACTGTGGAAGTCAATGGTTACCGATGTCCAGCATTCTTCAATAAGGATGAGTTACAAACATTGGTTTGTTGTGAGAAATCATGAACAGAAAAGAAGATATTTTGAAGAATGTTGGAAACCGGTAACCATTGACTTACACAGTATTTCCTACTATGGAAGTCAGTGGTTACCGGTTTCAGCATTCTTCAATAAGGGTGAGATACAAACATTGTTTTGGTGTTAGAGAAATTGTGAAGTAAACCATCGTATATATTGATATAAAATATAGAAATCAATTAGAAATGAATAAAATAAATAATATTTTCTTCTTAAAGAGACAGTTCACCAGCCCAAAAAATGAAGATTCACTCTCCCTTAAGTATTTCAAACTTTTATGAGTTTCTGTTGAACACAAAAGAAGATATTTTGAAGAATGCTGGACACCAGTAGCTATTGACTTACACAGTATTTGTTTTTCCTAATATGGAAGTCAATGGTTACCGATTTTCAGCATTCTTCAATAAGAGAAAGTAAATGCTGACATAATTGTAGTTCTTTGGGTGAACTTTTCCTTTAACTTGTTACATAAAGTTGCTTTGTTGTGAGAAATCGTGAAATAAACCAACATATATATTGAAATAAAATATAGAATAAAATAAATAGGATTATTTTTCTTAAAGGCACAGCTCACAACCCCAAAAATCAAGATTTACACACTATTTACTCACTATCAAGCTATTTCAAACATGAGTTTCTTTCTTCTGTTAAACACAAAGAGAAGATATTTTAAAGAATGTTTGAAACAGGTGGCTTACACAGTAAGACAAATAGTACGAAAGTCAATGGTTACCGGTTTCTAACATTTTTCTAAATGTCTTCTTTTGTGTTCAACAGAAGAAAGAAGCTCATAAAGTTGTTGATGATGATATAATTGTATTTTTTGGATGAATTATCGGGTTAATAGTTGAGTTGGATGTGTGAATCCTGTACATTATTAATTTATGGTTGCGGTGCTGGGAATGAGTCGTCATAACTCCATTAATAGACCCCCGGAGTCATCACACATATTTCAGTGACCAGTAATAATCTTTAACATGACGTTACACACAATAAAGCAGGTTAGTAAGCGAGATGGTGAAATAATATCTAATATTGACCTCTAAACGAACACACACACACACACACACACACACACACACACACACACACACACACACACACACATGTATATAGACTTACAGTAGTGGGTTAATAACAACTATTTCTATAATTACCTAACTCTCTTTACTTTTTATACAGTGTAAATGTGCTATATATAAAGTCATCTGTTCTCTATAGCAGCTAATTCTCTTGGTTTTGCTAATAGTTTAACGGAGTTACCTCTACACAAATGTAAAAAGGAAACGTGGAGAGCAGAAGCGCAGAGGAGGGCGGGGGGCGACCGTAAAGAATGTGTTCAGTGAGAGGGGAAAATTCATTTAGGAAAGAGAGGGAAGAAAAGAGAGAAAAAAGAGAAAAAAGACGGAAAGTGAGACAGGGTGGTGCTTAGCAAGGACGGAAAACGCGCCATGAAACATTCCGCGCATATCTTTGGGACAGTTCAACGCGGTGACGTCAGGGCGCCGCTGGCCTATAAAGCCGCCGCCGTGCGCGCCTCCGGAGCAGAGCAGCGCCTTCATACGCGCGGGAAAACAAACGGACGCTCCTCAGACTAAAGCAGGACTTAAAAACGACGGAATTTTGCTCAAAATCAGCGAGCTGACAAACACAGACGCGAAGATGTTTGCTTGGGCTGTTATCGTCATCTTTATTGCACACTTTAATATGGTGAGTACAGTTTTATATAGAAGTTGAGGGATGTTTACTCATAGGAGTACGGTTAGTTCACCCATAAAGATTATTTCATAAACCTCACTGAGTTTCTGTTCAACACTGAAGATCCTATATTATTGGATAAATTACTATCATGATGTTTGTTATTCCTACTATAGAAGTGAATGTATGAAAATAACTTCTTAAAGTGTTTAACAGAAACTTATGAAGGTTTAAAACAACTCACTGAGAGTAAATAGCGAGTAATTCTACAGTTTTTGGGGTAAACTCTCTTTTTTAATGGTTTGTTTGCCTATTGGCAAAACTTGAAGTGGATTAAATCATTTAATCTGAAGAAAGTCTTAGGAAAACTTTATTTTGGTTCTCTTAAGATGTTGACTGCTGTTTAGTGTTGATTATTTAGGGGGCGTTCACATCACTATTTCAGAACCAAAACTGCTTTAAAGTAGAGTTTCTGCCTTGATCCTAGTCCAAACATTATTAAAATCAAGAGGCATTTTCTAGACAAGCACACAATATCCTCATGTTTTCTCTTTAATTTTGACGAAAACGAAACACTGTGTATAAATTCTTCTTGATAGAATAATCTTAAGATATTTAGACTGGAAACGAGACTATAACTCAAACTAAAAAGCATTTGGTCAACTTTATTTCAATGTACAATCCATATGCTATTAACAACTTGGACTTTTAGCTCAAACTACTTTAATTAGATGCTTATTAATAGTTATTAAGCTAGTGCTGGGTTTAGATATTGGGGATGTAGAATACATCATACTTTATAAGTGGTGATAAACAGTTAATATCTTAATTATAGGAAGTTAATAAGCCAGTGCACTGCAAAAAAAAAGCTATTACCTAGTCTTTTTGTCTTGTATCTAGTCCAAATATCTAAAAACTCTGAAATCAAGAAGCATTTTTTAGACTTTTACAAAATGTTGTGTTGTTTTCAGAAATAATACATCACAATGAAGTGAGTTTTTCCTTAAGACGAGCAAAATAATCTGCCAATGGTGAAGTGAAATAGTATGGTTTTTCCTTTTGGCATATGATTATTTAGTTTACCACATTGGCAGATTATTAAAACTCCTTTAATTTTGACTCATTTCTGAAAACATTTAGATTTCTACAGGACATTTCTAAACATAATTTGAACAATTTTCTAATAACTAATTTCTCTTATCTTTGCCATGATGACAGCACATAATATTAGACTAGATATTCTTCAAGACACTAGTATTCAGCTTACAGTGACATGTAAAGGCTTCACTAGGGTAATTAGGGTAAAGTTAGGGTAATTAGGCAAGTCATTGTATAACAGTGGTTTATTCTGGAGACTATCCAACACTAATATTGCTGAAGGGGCCAATAATATTGAGCTTAGCATGAGTTTAAAACAATGAAAAACTGCTTTTATTCAAGCCCAAATAAAACAAATAAGACTTTCTCCAGAAGAACAAATATTAGAGGAAACACTGTGAACAACTCCTGAATCTGCTCAACATCATTTAGGAAATATTTTAAGAAGAGTAAGTCCTGAGCTGAGCTGTATTTGAGAGTGCTGAATGTATTGATGGTGGTGGTGGTGTTGTTGTTCAGGTGTCCTCCAGCTGTGCATGTAGGTGATAACTGCATTGATTGTGTTGTTCAGGTATCCTCCAGCTGCCCGGCGGTGTGCTCCTGTGCTCCGGATGCCCCCCAGTGTCCTCCAGGAGTGGGTCTGCAGCGGGACGCCTGCGGCTGTTGTCTGGTGTGTGCCAGACAGCTGAACGAGGACTGCAGCCGCTCAGAGCCCTGCGACCACAGCAAGGGCCTGGAGTGCAACTATGGGGCCAGCCACGGGGCCACCAGGGGCATCTGCAGAGGTGTGTTTCTCATTACACACACATGCACACACACACATACACATACATACATACATGAATACATACATACATATTGTAAGTGTGTGTGCTGTGCATATTCATTATGTGTGTATATATAAATACACACATGCAATGTTTAATTATATTTAAATAGAAAATATACGTATATGATACAAATTCTATATACATTTAAAGCAGTTTTTAATAAACTCATGTTAAGCTCAATATTATTGGCCCCTTCAGCAATATTAGTGTTGGATTGTCTCCAGAATAAACCACTGTTATACAATGACTTGCCTAATTACCCTAACTTTACCCTAATTACCCTAGTGAAGCCTTTACATGTCACTGTAAGCTGAACACTAGTGTCTTGAAGAATATCTAGTCTAATATTATTTACTGTCATCATGATGAAGAGGAAATAAATCAGTTATTAGAGATGAGTTATGAACACTGTTATGATTAGTGTTGGAGAAATCTGCTCTCTGTTTAACAACATATTATATTTAACAACATTTATATTTTGGTTTCTATGTCACATATACATAATAACATATATTAATCCCAAACAAACATATTAAATCTCTGCCCAGCACTAATTAAAACGCTCTGAATTTCTGTTCTCAGCTAAATCAGAGGGCCGGCCGTGCGAGTACAGCAGCCGGATCTACCAGAACGGGGAGAGTTTCCAGCCCAACTGTAAGCACCAGTGCACCTGTATGGACGGGGCGGTGGGCTGTGTGCCGCTGTGCCCGCAGGAGCTCTCGCTGCCCGCGCTGGGCTGTGCCAACCCTAGGCTGGTCAAAGTGCCCGGCCGCTGCTGCGAGGAGTGGGTCTGCGATGATGAGCAGCAGGGCGGGAAACTCATCGAATCGGCCAATAAGATGCCTGGAAATAAAGAAGTGGGCGGAGACTCGGAGAAAGAACTGACCAATAAAAACGAGCTGATCTCTGTCATCATGAACACCAAACTCAAATCGTTACCTGGTAAGAACACACACTCACTATACTGCCAGTAAAATGCTTTTATTATTATTATTTACAGTGCTGGAGTAGATGCAGGACACAAACTCGTAAAAAAATAAGATTAATTTTCACTTCCCCCATTGGTAGATTAATTTAGCTTTATTTTTAGGAGAAATTCACTTAATTTTGCCTTATTACTTCTAAAAAACAGGACAATATTAATTCAAATTGACAAAAGGAGCTTCAGGGGTAATCATGTATTAGTGCTCTTTGGATAAGGGATATGCAAACCTTAATAATGCATAATAATAATAGTAATAATGCTCTCAAAAATAAGAGGGAAAATAGCCTTTATTAAAGGGATAGTCCACCCAAAAATGGAAATTATCATTATTTACTCACTCTTGTTTCAAACCTTAATACGTTTCTTTTTTCTGTTAAACACCACTATATTCTGATAATCTAACCAGTTACAGGTCTTCAACATTCTTCAAAATATCTTCTTTTGAGCCCAACAAGAGAATAACTATCAAGAAAGAATGTTTGAAACCACTGGAGTGAGAGTAAATAACGAGTGATTGAGAAATGAAGTGTAAATTTAGTGTGAACTGTCCCTTTAACATGTTAATGAGCTGATGAATATGCTGAATCTGATGCTCGTGCATATGTATTTTTAAAAATAAGACTTTGCTTATCTTTGCAGCTTTCCGATCGCATCAGATGGAGAAGTGCATCGTGCAGACCACCGGCTGGTCCCAGTGCTCCAGGAGCTGTGGTACAGGAATCTCCACCCGAATCACCAATAATAACGCTGAATGCAAACTGATGAAGGAGAGCCGCATCTGTGAGGTCCGGCCCTGCAGCCAGTCTCCACACACCAGCCTGAAGGTGAGCAGGTCATCATGAATGACCTGGAGGAGCTTTAGTGCATGGGTCATCATTAAGAGAAACTACAGACAAGCACTAAACTAGTGTAGAGTGCTGTCAGGAGTGCAATTTAACCACAGAAAATGACCATTACCTAAACAAACTGATGAACATTCAGCTTATAAAGTCTTTAACTGACCTGGTGGAACTGTGTGCATGGGTTATTAATAAGAGAAACTCAACATTTGCTCAGAGTTAGTGTCAGGAATGCAGTTTAACCAAAGAAACTGACCAAAAACTAAAAATCTGATTGCACATGTTTGTTAACCGACCTGGTTGACCTTTTTGTGCATGTTTAAAATCAAGAACAGAAATAGTCTAATTGCACACCAGTGTGAACTAGTTTAGAGCTTTTCTTCTCTTTATTTTGATGATAACTCATGCACACAGAGGTCAAGCAGTTCAGTTAAAGGCTTTCTAACCTAAATCTGTGATCTGATTCATTCATTTCTTTGCTTGATTTGCATTTCTGACCCAAATCGAAGGAAATTGTGTTCTTTTTCTTGAAGAAAGATTTGGTCATTAATTTAAGCAAATCCACTCTAAGAAGCACTTTAGTTGTGCATTTTCTTTGGTTCGATTGCATTCTTGACACCAACTCTAAACTAGCTTTAGAAAATGATTCAGAGTGTTTCTTAGAGCGAAATTTAAAGACTTGAATTGGTGGCTTGAATATTTTCCTCTATATATACACACAATAGTCAACATCTGAAGCAGATCAAACTTTTTACCAACCTTTTTTTTTCTGTAGAAATGAGATTAAATGAGAGAAACTCTGCTAAATGGATGTGCCTTTGACTAATCCTGCTTATTCTCTGCATTGCTCTACAGAAAGGAAAGAAATGCAACCGCACCAAGAAGTCTGTGACGCCGGTGAAGTTCTCTTACGCCGGCTGCTCCAGCTTGAAGAAGTACCGTCCTCGGTTCTGCGGCTCCTGCGTGGACGGACGCTGCTGCAGCCCCCAGAACACCAGGACCATCCGGGTCAAGTTCCGCTGCCAGGACGGAGAGACCTTCAACAAGAACGTGATGATGATCGAGTCCTGCAAGTGCACGAAGCACTGCCCGCACGCCAGCGAGGCCGGATTCCCCTTCTACAGACTCTACAACGACATCCACAAGTTCACAGACTGAGGAAACACTGACAGAAACACTGCTCTGACAGTCTCTCACATCCAGAACTTCCGTCATCAAGAAGCATTTCATAGATGAGGATGAACTATTGTGCAGTTTTCAGAAATAATGAGTCGAAATAAGCTGAAAACAAGCTAAATAATCACACCACACACGATTGTTTAGCTTGTTTAAATGAAAACTTCACTCAGTATCTGAAAACAACACGATACTTTGCACTTCTTGATCTTCTTAATTTTCAGATGTTTGGAGACTAAGGCCGTGTCCACATGTACATGGGTATTGTTCTATATTTTAAACAATTGCATGTGTGTTAAGGCCATGCTGAACCTACAGGGGGCGACTTTACACCAAATGCGCATCAGTCATCTGAACATGTCACTTTCAGTTGTGTGTTCGTGTTGATGAACTGAGGAACCGTGTAGAAGAGTACAGTTTTGAAGATACCCGTGTTCGTGTGGACGATGCCTCCGTAAGACGAGCTTCTTTCATGCACCGACCAATAGGCAACCGGGGGTTCCGTCCGCCGGCCAATCAACTACCATCTCCTGTTGTAACTAGATTCCCACGGAATTACAGACTTACGATACGGGGACTTTTATCGTGCACTGTTTGCTGAGGTCAGCGTTTCCAGAAAAAACAAACGAACAATGTCTCGCTTCACAATGGAGCGCAATGTGTTAATGGCTTCGTTACGGAGCAACCTGTAAAGATGCGCTTGTTAATATTTCAGTTCCTGATGTATATCTCGATGACCCAACTGTAGATTTGTGTATATGTGTGTGTGTGTGTGTGTGTGTTCCAGTTTGCACATGCAAAACCTACAAGACTCAAACCTGACTCAAAGGTTGAGCCTGTCCAGTGATAACACACTCCCTCCTAATGCGGGTGAACGCATCCTCATTAGCTGCGTCCCAAATCGCATGCGTACGCACTGATCTGCGGCATTTATGAGTATGAATAGTGCATTTTAATACTTGAATGATGCACTTATTCAACTGTTAAACACAAGTACTACATGACTGCGTGTATGAGAAGCGTGAAAAGCAGCATGTAAATGTAATTAATCATTAATTATAAGTGCCGGCTGTGTAATTTGTGACGCAGCTAATGTTTGGCAGCTAGAGGAAACCAACATCAGATTAACAGCGGACTCTCACACCGGTTGAGTGAATGTTTTATAATTGTTATTAATATTATTTATCGCAAATGTAGCTCTTCTATTTGAACATTGTCATACTGGAATAAAGTGTACAGGAAGAATTATCTATGATCTAATTTTATATGTTATGAGTAAATAAAAGGTTTATTTATGAAGCGAACAGCTTGTGTCCTGGCCTCTGATGTTCCTTTATTGTTTCATCATCGCCTCATCAGTTCCTCATCAAATCTTCCGACCAATCAAATGCTCTCTAGACATGTCTGACATGCCCCGCCCCCTTCTCATGTTCATTTCATTTGAGCTCAGTCACTCTGACATAAACACAGCACTATTGGCTGGAGCCAATAATGGGGCGGAGCTACTGCATGCCCCGCCCTCTGCTCATGTTTCAGTAGATTTATTAAAATAACACAAAGCACTCGCAGCTCATTTAAACTCCGCATGAACCGGAAGCTGCAACTTTAGTCATATTGTGATGCAGAGAAACTAAATATTAAACTAGTAAACAGATGGGCGTGGCTTGTTTTTTCTACTGCGAGATGATTGGCTGTAGTAAAGTGGCTCATTCAGAAAGATGAGGGAAGTGTTTGGGTAGAGTTATTACAACCTGACTGCTGCTCACTATTTCTGTTATCAAAAATGACACCTGGAGGGGTGTGGTTAAGTGTGTTAGCCCCGCCCACTACCCCAGACAAACCTAATCTGAGAATTAAACTGAAATCAGGGCTCTGGAGTTCTTAATGGCATGCACAGATGAGCTGTTCACCACCAAACTAACACTGTGAGCTCACGGAGTCTTGATCTGCTGCAGACTTTAACAGTGAGGTTATATAACAGCGCTTCTGGAAGTTTCTCTCTCTGTCTGTGTGTTGAATGGAATGCTCTCAGAGACCTGTAAGACTGGACGCTTCCTCCAATAAAAGCTGAGCCTCCGTCCTTCATCTGCTCCTTCAAGAAAACAGTGAAGAGTCCCAGCAACGGCCGAAAGCGTGGAGCTGCGCCCGGAATCTTGAGTGCTTTTCCAAACGCAGCTCCAGTCTGTGTTTACAGAAACACACAGGAGTAAAGACAGCAGCCGGAGGTCTGAGCTTACTTTACTGCACGCTAGGACTGTGCTGCAGTATGAACATGTATCTATACACCACCTGACACAAGTCTTATGGATTGGCCAGCCCAGTCATCAGATATCAACATTATTGAGCATGTAGGAAGGGGGGAATGTCAATCAATCAAAGTGTTTCCTTAATCCAGCCTGATGATAAAAGTAGAATTGATTCATGTTTAGCAGAAGAGGCTGGAGATATTCACACACCGGATTCCTGCATAACATCTCCTCTGTAAGAGCCTTCTCTCCCCCTGTTGCTCTGTGATAATGGTTTGGTCCAGGTGAAGGGGATCCAGCTGTGGAATGCAGACGCGCTGCTGCTCGACAGATGCTGGAAAGTATGCGGGAGCAGCCCGTTCAGTTCGGGAATCCTGCTAAAAATATGCCCCCTCTGAAAGAACAGAGGTCCTGGCCTGGAGCAAACTGCGTTTTATAACATCCCAGCGGACGACAGCAACACAAGCCGTGGTTATATCACAGCACACCGAGCCAGAACAACAGCCCATATCAGATGGTGTGAAGGACAGAGACCCAGACGTTTCCTTCAGATAGGAGCGCGCAGACTGCTAAAAACAGACAACAACAACAACGAGAAGACAGAGCAATTCAACTGAAGCAGACATTAGTTGCCTTATAGGGAGTCATTTGACTACTTCACCGCCTCTGGAGTCCATTTCACTCCATTTCTATAGTACGTTTACAATACAGATCAATGTCGAACTCAGCTCCTGGAGGACGCAGTGCTGCACAGTTTAGTTCCTACACACTAACCTGCAGGTCTAAAGCAAGCCTGCAGAACTCAGCTGTGTTTAATCAGGGTTAAAGCTGAACTGTGCAGAGCTGCGGCCAGGAGCGGAGTTTCACACCCGTGCTGTGGATCAACACAGATGAAGCTCTAGTCAAGTATGATGGTGTTGTTCAGTGCAATGATTTCTAGTTATATTAAATGTTCGATGACTGATTTGATCATCTCTTCAGAGGAGAAAGTGAATATTTATTATGTTTTCACTCCTCCTGTCGTCCTGAATGTCCGTCACTGAACTGATGCCCCCTAGTGGCCAAACACAGAACTGAGGATCTGTTTTAAGGGAAAGTGCAGCTAATATTGGAGATTCTGTCAGTATTTAGTGATCATGTGGTTTGCAGCTCTGCTCTGGATTTACTTTCATTTAATGGGCATATTATACTTTTATGTTGTGCAGGAGAATTTATGGAGATTAGACTGACAGATTTCTGAGAACTATTTAGGATGGCACAGAACCCTTCAATAAAAAGAATTTAAAAGCTATATTAATATTGAACCATATTTTTAAAAAGTGCAAATAATAAGTCATCCAACATTTTTTTATGATGATAAACACTTTTTAAGGTAGAATTTATGATTTTTGAAAATAAATATTGCTTGTTTTTATTATAATTGCTGTGTTTTCGTTTGGTCTCATGCATTGGAGCACTGTGCTTGCATTTATCTTCTACTTCTGTACTTTTATATTCATGTACAACACTGCGACTTCTTTTAAAGGCACTATATTTAAAGTTTATCATTATCATTATTAATCAACAGTGGAAAAGTTCTACAGCTGTTTGTGGAATCATCATTACCAATAACAGATTCCTAATTGTAAATTAATTTAAAGTTTAAGGCTGAGTAAATAATAACAGAAGGAACATTTCTGGTGTGCTTTTTAACTATTGATCAATATTTAATCAGCTACACTTATTTTAGTATGTTAATCAGGTTTTAACTCTTAAGATGCTGTTAGTGAGTTAAATTGATTGAAGTTGAAATAACTTGTAAAATTTATTTTGATTCAACTTTAAAAATTGAAGGCAGCACCATCACTTAATACACTGCAGATCTCCTGAAAACCAGATAATATTCACCATCTGTTGGTTAATGAAAGCATGAAGCTAAATAAATGTGTATCTTTTCTGAAGATGGGAGGAGTTTAATGCGGTGTTGTTGCCATGGTATTTTAGGCTGTTTAGGTGTAATGCTCTTTTAATCTCTTTTAATGTACATCTTAAGATGATTTTCAATTTTTGCATGGTCTAGAACAGGGGTCACCAATCTCGGTCCTGGAGGGCCGGTGTCCCTGCAGGGTTTAGCTCCAACTTGCCTCAACACACCTGCCTGGATGTTTCAAGTATAACTATTAAGACCTTGATTAGCTTGATCAGGTGTGTTTGATTAGGGTTGGAGCTAAAATCTGCAGGACACCGGCCCTCCAGGAAAAAGTTTGGTGACCCATGGTCTAGAAGCTAAAAATTTAATTTTAATTTTTAATTTAATTTTACTCACTTAATGTAATCTAAAGTAGTCAGATTACACTACTATAAAAGTAATCTAAATGTAATCCAAAAGTAGTCATATTGCATTTCTATAAAAGTAATCTAAATGTAATCCAAAAGTAGTCATATTGCATTGCTATAAAAGTAATCTAAATGTAATCCAAAAGTAGTCATATTGCATTGCTATAAAAGTAATCTAAATGTAATCCAAAAGTAGTCATATTGCATTGTTATAAAAGTAATCTAAATGTAATCCAAAAGTAGTCATATTGCATTGTTATAAAAGTAATCTAAATGTAATCCAAAAGTAGTCATATTGCATTGTTATAAAAGTAATCTAAATGTAATCCAAAAGTAGTCATATTGCATTGCTATAAAAGTAATCTAAATGTAATCCAAAAGTAGTCATATTGCATTGTTATAAAAGTAATCTAAATGTAATCCAAAAGTAGTCAGATTGCATTGCTATAAAAGTAATCTAAATGTAATCCAAAAGTAGTCAGATTGCATTGCTATAAAAATATTCCAAACGTAATCCAAAAGTAGTCGAATTACATTACCATAAGTAATCTAAATGTATTCCAAAGGTTGTCAGATAGGAGTCATATAACATTGCCATAAAAGTAATCTAAAAGTAGTCATATTGCATTGCTAATAAAGTAATCTAAATGTAATCCAAAAGTAGTCAGATTGCATTACCATAAGTAATCTATATGTAATCCACAGTAGTCAGATTACGCTACTATAAAAGTAATCTAAATGTAATCCAAACTAGTCAAATTGCAGTCACATAGTATTAACATAAAAGTAATCTAAATGTAATCCAAAAGTAGTCAGATAACATTGCTATAAAAGTAATCTAAATGGAATACAAAAGTAGTCGAATTACATTACCATAAGTAACCTCAATGTAATCCAAAGGTAGTCAGATAGGAGTCATATAGCATTGCCATAAAGAAATCTAAATATAATCCAAAAGTAGTCAGATTGCATTGCTATAAAATTATTCCAAACGTAATCCAAAAGTAGTCGAATTACATTACCATAAGTAATCTAAATGTAATCCAAAGGTTGTCAGATAGCAGTCATATGGCATTGCCATAAAAGTAATCTAAAAGTAGTCATATGGCATTGTTATTAAAGTAATCTAAATGTAATATAAAGTAGTCGAATTGCATTGCTATAAAAGTAATCTAAATGTAATCCAAAAGTAGTCATATTGCATTGCTATAAAAGTAATCTAAATGTAATCCAAAAGTAGTCATATTGCATTGCTATTAAAGTAATCTAAATGTAATCCATAAGTAGTCAGATTGCATTACCATAAATAATCTATATGTAATCCACAGTAGTCAGATTACGCTACTATAAAAGTAATCTAAATGTAATCCAAACTAGTCAGATTGCAGTCACATAGTATTAACATAAGTAATCTAAACGTAATCTAAAAGTAGTCAGATAACATTGCTATAAAAGTAATCTAAACGAAATACAAAAGTAGTCGAATTACATTACCATAAGCAATCTCAATGTAATCAAAAGGTAGTCAGATAGCAGTCATATAGCATTGCCATAAAGAAATCTAAATATAATCCAAAAGTAGTCAGATTGCATTGCTATAAAAGTAATCTAAATGTAATCTAAAAGTAGTCGAATTGCATTACCATAAATAATCTAAATGTAATCCACAGTAGTCTGATAGAAGTCATATAGCATTGTCATAAAAGTAATCTGAATGTAATCCAAAAGTAGTCAAATTACGCTACCATGAAAGTAATCCAAATGTAATCCAATAGTTAGAGTGCATTACTATAAAAGTAATCTATATGTAATCCAAAAGTAGTCAATGACATTACATGAGCATATTATCTGATGGTAATAATCCCATAATACAATGCCCATGTGATCTCCCCAGATAGATGTGCAAGGAACATCTTGGGTAATATCTTGAGTAAAACACACACACACACACACACACTGGTGGTGATGTAAGCGGGTGTGTGAGAGGAGCTGCCAGAAAGAGTGTGTATGGGGAATCATTACTATTATAGCGCTTAACTAGCCGTGACACACACCTCATCTCACACTGCACTGCATGCAGCAATGACGGCATGCTGCAGACGGCGTTACATAAGCGCTCATCATCAACTTCAGCAAGCGCGTCTGTTTATCTGCTCAAACAAAGCGCTCTTTGAGGGAGAAACCCCGCGCTAAAGCCGCTGTCGGTGGAAAAGGGTTGGAGAGCCAGCTTCAGAAAGTCTCTGGGTGTTTTCTTTGCTGAATTATGAACAGAAAACACATGGAGACAACTCCACAGAGACCGCAGAGTACGCACACACACACACGCGTAACACCACTGCAGGCCCGCCAAACAGCATTAGTCTACAGAGGACATCAGAACTTACACTGCTGTTGTGTTAGCGCACATCAGAACTCAAGAAGATGGAGACACTGTGCTCATAAAGGGATGGACATGGTCAGCAGCAATACTCAGGTAGGCTGTGGCGTTGATGCTCAATTGGTACTAATGGACCCAAAGAAAATCTCCCCCACACCATTACACCACCACCACCAGCCTGAAGCGCTGATACAAGGCAGGATGATCCATGCTTTCATGTTGTTGAGCCGAGCATCTGAATGTGTGAGCAGAAATGGAGACTCATCAGAGCAGCAACGTTTCTCCAATCTTCTATTGTCCAGTTTTGGTGAGTCTGTGTGAATTGTAGCCTCAGTTTCCTGTTCTTAGCTGACAGGAGCGGCACCCGGTGTGCTCTTCTGCTGCTGTAGCCCATCCGCCTCAAGGTTGGCCGTGTTGTGTGTTCAGAGATGCTCTTCTGCAGAGCTCGGTTGTAACGAGTGCTTATTTGAGTTACTGTTGCCTTTCTATCAGCTGGAACCAGTCTGGCCATTCTCCTCTGACCTCTGGCCTCATCAACAAGGCATTTGCACCCACACAACTGTCGCTCACTGGATATTTCCTCTGTGTCGGAGCATTCTCTGTAAACCCTAGAGATGGTTGTGCGTGAAAATCTCAGTAGATCAGCAGTTTCTGAAATACTCAGAGCAGCCCGTCTGGCAGCAACAACCATGCCACGATCAGAGTCTCTTAAATCCCCTTTCTTCCCCATTCTGATGCTCGCTCTGAACTGCAGCAGATCCTCTTGACCATGTCTACATGCCTAAATGCAGTGAGCTGCTGCCCCGTGATTGGCTGATTATACACTTGCGATAAAGTCAGGTGTACCTAATAAAGTGGCCGCTGAGTGTATAAAAAGTTTCATAATGAAAACGTTACATATTCGGACATTAATCTTCATGACGATGGCATTTTGTTATTATTACAATTAAACTTGTAAGCTGAGATCAATATTGTAATGTAAGCTGCAGGAATTAATCGCATAATAGTAATGTGCACAAACAACAGCGCCACCTACTGACTCATATGAGGAGTATAGAGTTTTAGCCGTTTTATTGACATCATGTGTGCACAAACATTTTCTAGAAAATCATAAAAAAAACAAAAATCAGCTGTTAGTAGGAGATTTATAAATTTATGGTCGATTTTTTTTCCTTGTTGCATAAAAAACAAACAAAAAAAAAACAATGACATTTAGGTAGCTTAATCTTACATTTAAAAATGAAGCCAGATCAGAGAAAGCAGTCATGATAAACAGCACACACAGAGCTGCACTATTGAACGCCAGCGTTGCCAGATTCTCCCAACAAAATCAGATCAACTAAATATTCCAAATTATTCCACTCCCACATATAAAATACATATTTCACACCACTGCATGCATTAATCAGCTGCTGTTTAAACATATCTGTGAACCATAAAACAAAGACAGTACAAATATAATTCATAAAAAACTCGGCATCATTCATTCAGCTTAGTCCCTTTATTCATCAGCGGTCGCCACAGTGGAATGAACCGCCAACTATTCCAGCATATGTTTTACACAGTGGATGCATTTCCAGCTGCAACCCAGTACTAGGAAACACCCACACACACTCACACTCATACACTACGGCCAGTGTAGTTGGTCAGTTCCCCTATATGTGTTTGGACTGTGGGGGAAACCGGAGCACCCGGAGGAAACCCACACCAACACGGGGAGAACATGCAAACTCCACACAGAAACACCAACTGACCCAGCCAAGACTCAAACCAGAGACCTTCATGCTGTTTGGCAACATCTAGTAAAACAGTTGAACAGAATGATTTGAGGAAACATAATGAATGCAATGTCAAACTTCAGAGCTGCGGAATAATAACAGCACCCGCAGCACGCTGATAATGCAGCTCAATTCCTGCAGACTTGGCAACCCTGGATTAAAGCCGTCATGTAGATCAGTTGTGGGTATTATTATGGGATGATGATCATATTTCAGGAAAGCAGACAATAGATGCTTTATGTGAAGAGCAGCAGCTGTCTCCATATCGAGCAGAAACACAGCACAGACCCCGGCCCTCTCCACAGCAGCTCAACATCTGCCTGCTCACTCACAGCACAGCATTATGGGATGCAACACAACACCAACACTCTGAAGAGGACGGCTGCCAGAGCGTTGCTGAAGGGTTCTGATTGGTTAGTGTGTTATTAGGCAGCAGTGGTGTAAAGCAGAGGTTCATATACTTATGAGTGTGAACTAACTACAAACACCCAGACTACTGTAATGGAGGAGTTTTATAGTTTTATCAATGTGTGCTTTGACTTTCCCTTCAGCACATGTTTACTGCAGTATCAGTGCTGTTACTGTCCTTCAGCCTGCATCATACTGCATTATGTCTCGTCTATGGGGATTAGAGAAATCAGTCCTGTAATTCTGTCCAATCAGGTACAGGTCAATCTGATCATACTGAACTCCCTCAACACACGGGCTGTTTATAACTGCTGCAAACTGTTTAGAAGCATTAAAAGTGTCCAAGAAGACGTCCAAAATCTGTACACCCACACTGACCCAGAGACTGACTAGATGCAGGTCGCTGATGCGAAGATGACGGTGTTTACTGTATGAGGACCTTAAACACCCAGCAGGCAACAAGTTGAAGAGTTTAGATGCAAAACCCGCTGAAAGCGTCTGATATTTTACTCTGAAATGAGGATTTTCTCTGACTCCTCTATGTCGGCTCAGTAATTTGACTTTTATAGTGACGGATGAGTTCTTTTCATTGCATTTCAAGTGAAATAACTGAACATAAACATAAGCGGCTGAGGAAAATGCTCGTTTCAGGAGAACATTCAGACGTATTTAGAGATTTTGCTTCAGTTGTGTCCCAACATTATGGGGACGTTGCATTATGTTTGGAAATGACAATCAGGTTGACATGCAGGTCAACATCACTGTCTAACGTCCAACCTAACATCCAACCTAATATCAACGTCTGATGATCTTCCAGCTTGAAAAACTCTACTATTTTTATATGTATATTTTATATGTATATTTTATTATATGTATATGTATATTTATTATATTTTATTGTATGTCTTGTACATGTGGCTGAATTGACAATAAAGCTGACTTTGACTTTGACATTGTGTGGATGTTACCACTATGACGTCTATCAGACGTTGGATTTTGGTTTGCAGTACTGGACGTCAGTGTGATTCTGGTTTTACATGTTGGACTTTGGTCCCTTTCTAACAACCTAAAATCAACCAAATATCAACGTCACTTGACGGCATTATTGGACATCATGATAACATTCTCCTTAGACGCTGACCAGACATTGAGTTTGGCTCACCTGATGACCTAAATCTAACCTAATATTAGCGTCTGATGATGTTGTGTAACTAAATGCACTACAGAATGTGACGTTTACACACATCCACAAGTGACATGTAATGCATCAGCTTTCACAGCGTAATACTCACTCGAGTACTTTAGAAAGCTCTACTTTTTACTCACTCTCTGCGTAATGTTCACAGCAGACACTTACTCTACTGCACGACAGTTTCAGGCGAGTAATGCTGCTCTTACTGGAGTCTGATTTCCAGCAGTCTGTCCACCACTGTTAGGAAGCTGCTGAAGAGTTCTGATTGGTTGTTGTGTTGCTAGGCAGTTGAAATTCTGAACATACTGCTAAATAGTTGCTACACGGATGTGTTGAGATGCGGAGGAGCTGTAAATATAAAAATAAATAATGTAAATACAAAATCTTTTAAGGGCACCACTGGTGAAACATCTACTATTCCAGCTGTGTGGCCAGACATGTGTGTAGGTATAGTGTATAGAGCGTCATATTGGGCTGATATAAACACACACAGTGCTTTTTTCAGTTTAACAACATAAAAACGGAGCAATTGGAGCAGTTTTCAGAGCAACCACAGCTTGACGTAACTGTAACCCACCAATATCGATTGACAGCCGTGCGTCACCACATCCTCAGTTTGTCGTTTCACATCCTCCCTTGTCAGCGTGCGAGTAAAGCGATGTCTCTAAATGAACACCCTTGCACTATTTTCAGATGTAAGGCTCATTGGGCTCAACACAAGATCAATATTCTCCACATGATCGCTCTAATCGGAGCCATTGTTTGTAACTTTAGGTAGGTTTGCAAACCTGTGTGCTTTTCATTGCGTCTATCTTAAACTTCAGCCGTTTGCATTTCTCGAGGTCACAGAAGCTCACAGTGATCTTAACCAGGTGCAGCTGGAAAGTTTGCCTCATGTGCGAGTCCCTCACGATTACAAGCTAAAGTTAACAGCACGAGAGACTCAGAACTGTCATCCAGACGTTTATTAAAAAAAGGCACATGGCATTGAGGAATACCGCTATTTAAACTGGCAAATAAAAGCCAAAATGCAAAGAAAAATCTGAAGAATAAATGCTTAAGCATCACTCGCTCTTGATTTGTGCCCTGATATTAGAGCAGACGAGTGTAATGTGTAACAAAGGAGCAAACCAAACACATTATCCAGCTCTGATTTGGTGTTTGAGTTCATCTGCACACTGCAAAAACACTTCCTTATCGAGAGTTTGCCTTGTTTTACTTCAAATATCTCTAAATTATTATGTAATATTATGAATATATTATATAATATAACTAATACTGATATATAGTGTTGTGTTCGGAAATAATGAGGAGAAATGAAGAGAGTTTCTCCTTAAAACAGGCACAATAATCTGACACTGGGGGAAGAAAAACAACCCTACGTCAAACCTAAACCAGGATGATCCTGCTTCCCCAGGGTCAGATGACTCTGAAACTCTCTCCGCTTTGACTCCGCATTTCTGAACACAACACTAGATTAGATTATTTCTACTTGTCTGGAAACTGCTGACTGATTTAAGAGTTTGTGGATATCTGGACTGGAAACAGGACACCATCAGTCTGTTCTTCATCATCATCATCATCATCGTCATGATCAGCTTGGTCTGGGTCTGTCAGTCTGTCCTTCATCATCATCATCATCATGTGCTCTCTCAGACTCTCCAGAAGGCTTGTGCTCTTCTTCAGGTGGTCCTGCAGTCCGCTCTGCATCTTCAGCGAGTTTATTCTGCGTGTGATGTTGGTTTTCTTCATCATCTTCGCTCCTCAGCTCTCCGTCCTCCAGATCTTCATCTTCTGAGACTCTGGGCTTCTTCTTCGCTGGTGTTTCTGATGGAGAAGATGATGCTGACGCTGTGCCCTCATCAGGAGCGTCTGGAACAGAAGAAGTGCTTGATCAGTCGCGTGCTGACTTTGACATGCACATATTTGTGAGAGTAAAGAGTAAAGGCAGCATTCATGAGTCTGTGACAGGTCCAGATCACGCTCATTCACAGCCTGAGTTTGCAGAACACAAGCGGAGTGTGTGAGAGTCAGACAGCGTGATAACCTCAGATTAAAATATCCCCGTACTGACTCACTGCTCTATGACACGCTCTGTTTAAACGTCTGGGTGAAAGACTACGCTATAAATGCAGATATCCTCACATACATCACTGGACATCTGTCTGCCCTGTGGATATACAGTAAAGACACTGCACTGTGTGTGTGTGTGTGTGTGTATGAGCGTGCTGTACCTGGTTCTGGAGTGTGGTACTGCTGACTGTGCTGATCCAGAACCACAAAGAGTTCTGGGTATTCGATGATGGTCTTATACATCAGATTCTCCTGCAGAGTCTTGTTCAGCTCCAGCTCGTGATACCTGATACACACACACACACACACACACACACACACACACACACACACACACACACACACACACACACACACACACACACACACACACACACACACACACACACACACACACACACACACACACACACACACGATGATTGTTTAATACACATGCACATCTAGAGTTTAGATTCTCTGCCCGAGCCCAGTCTCGACCCAATGGGCTGATATTTCCTGCCAGTATCGTCAGGCCGGGCCGTGATCAAGCATTTGTGGGGTAACAGCAGTACCTGAGAGAGTTCAGCTGCTCCAGTTCTGCTTTCAGAAACACTCTGATGTTCTGTTGACTAGAGACGTAGAGCTTTAACCTGAAACACACACACACACACACACACACACACACACACGTTTAATATAATGAAATAATAATTGAATAATGCGGTGGTGGATCATACACACTTCTGCCGTCGCACTGGATCCGCTTCTGAAGGATGGATGTAGCCGTGGAGGATCTGTTCAAGCGGCGTGTTATCAGGACGCCTGATCAAACAACACACATACACACACACACACACACACACACACACACAACAGAAACATTTACACACACCTGCAGTCATTCCAGATTTGTGGGTACATTTCAGGCATTTTCCAAACTGGAACTTTAAACAAAAAATGTTAATGTGCAGCAACGCTTAAATGTGAACTGGAGCATCACATGTTACTGAATGTTTAGCTTACTGTTAAACTTTATAAACTATAACAGAGTCCATGACGATAACATAGCTGAAAATAATAAAAGTTGTTGACGATAATAACAGCTGTTGTATCATAGTTGAGTTGAACAAGTTGACGACGATAACAGTTGACAAAATCAGAGCCGACGATAGCAGAGTTGACGACAACAGCAGAGTTGACGATAGCAGAGTTGACGACAACAGCAGAGTTGACAAAATCAGAGTTGGCGATAGCAGAGTTGACGATAGCAGAGTTGACGATAGCGGAGATGACGATAGCGGAGATGACGATAGCGGAGATGACGATAGCAGAGTTGATGATAACAGAGTTGACGATAGCAGAGTTGACGATAGCAGAGTTGACGATAGCAGAGTTGACGATAGCAGAGTTGACGATAGCGGAGTTGACGACAGCGGAGTTGACGACAGCGGAGTTGACGACAGCAGAGTTGACGATAGCAGAGTTGACGATAGCAGAGTTGACGATAGCAGAGTTGATGGCGATTACAACTGACATTAGCTTTGAAGACAGATGTTGACAATAACAATAATGAGTTGTTGTTGAAGATTTTTATGTTTAAGTTATTTAAAGTTATGATTAAAATAAATGAATAAAACATTACTAATTGAACATTTTCAATATTCTGACATGTTTCTGTGCAGACACACTTGATTTATTCATCCAATTTTGACCATATTCTGCAACAGAAGCAGCACTCGATTCAATAAACTCAGTTTTATAATTGCATTCTGTGATTCTAAAATGACAGTTCTTACTAATATTTATTAATATGTCCAAATTGTAAAACACTACACATCATTTCAGAAACTCTGCTTTTATGATTGCATTTAGTGTTTTTCCCACCTACGTTATTACTACGTCATTAGCCAAAGCACTTACGAATATTTATAAACCACAGAAATATTAAAATGACAGAAATATGACTTCATATTCAACCAAATTTCTCCAAAGCCTGCAACACTTGACACTATTCAATAAATTCTGTTTTATAATTGTTTTCTGTCATTTTTCAGCTACGCTTTCACCACGTCATTGGCCAGAGCACAAATGAATATTTATAATAGTTAGATGAGAAAGATATTTTTTACCTCTCAGAATAAACGGCTTCGCTCTGAGGAAAATGGATCTTGAGATGCCAGTGAAATCGCCGTTCCCTGAGGAATGAAACCACACAGATGTTCACAACACAAAAACCCACCCAGAACTCATTTCTCAAAACACCACTGCGAAAAGAAGAGATCATCAAGTCATGTTCACACACAAACCTAGCTCAGTATAGCCAGACGCAAACATCGACAACATTTAAAAATGACAACAGCCAATAAGAATCAGAAATTCTGCTGAGGTTTTCAGCCATTTGTGGCATTTTTAAACTCCAGTACATTGTTCACAATTCATTGAATGGGCGTAGCACAAGATTATCCTAATTCAATGTATGAAGTCAAATTACGCTACCATAAAAGTAATCTAAATGTAATCCAAAAGTCAGATTTTAACTTAGTAACCTAAATGTACCGTAATCCAAAAAGTAAGATTATGTTATATACACACAAGTAATCTAAAAGTAATCCAAAAGTAAAGTCAAATTACACTACCATAATAATATTCTTAATGTAATTAGACTGTGCTACCATAACAGTACTATAAATGTAATGCAAAAGTAGTCTGATTGTTACCATCAAAGTAATCTAAATGTAAATCAAAACATGCACTTGTTATATACAAGTTAACTTTAAGTAATTTAAAAGTAGTAAAATTTCGCTACCTTAAAAGTAATCTAAATGTAATCCAAAGTAGTCTGAGTGTTACCATCAAAGTAATCTAAATGTTCTAAATAGAATCTAAACAGATGCCATAAGTAATCAGATTGTGCTACCAAAGTAATCTAAATGTAATCCAAAATGTAGTCAGGTTGCCCTACCATTGTAGTTATCTAAATGAATTTCAAAAGTAGTCCATTTGTCCAATCTAAAGATACTGTAATCCAAAACTGGTCAGATTATGTTACCATAAAACTAATCTAAATGTAATCCATTATTCAGATTGTAACTATAACAGTACCCTAAATGTACTGTAATCCAAAAATAGTCTATGTTATATAAAAGTAATCTAAATGTAATCTAAAAGTAGTCAAATTGCATTGTCATCAAAGTAATCTAAATGTTCTGCAATCCAGAAAGTCAAGATTGTATTACCATAAAATTAATCTAAATAGACGCCATAAATAATCAGATTGTGCCACCATCAAAGTAATCTAAATATAATCCGAAATGTAGTCAGGTTGCAATACCATTATAGTTATTTAAATGTAATCCAAAAGTAGTCAAATTATGCTACCATGAAAGTAATCTAAATGTAATCCAAATGTAGTCAGGTTGCATTAACATTAATCTAAATATACTGTAATCTGTAAAAGTAATGTAAATGTAATCCAAAAGTATTCAGACTGCACTGCCATAAAATTAATCTAAAAGTAGTAGGATAGAAACCATACAAGTAACCTAAATGTACTGTAATCCAAAAACTGTCAGATTGTGTTTTTTACAAGTAATCTAAAGTAGTGTGATTACACTAACAAAAGTACTCTTAATGTAATCCAAATGCAGTCCAATTGTTATTATAAGTAATCTAAATGTAATCCAAAAGTAGTCTCATTGTGGCAATAAGTAACCTAAATGTACTGTAATCCAATAGTCGATTGTTATATAAAAGTAATCTAAATGTAATTCAAAAGTATTCAGATTACACTGCCATAAAAGTAATCTAAATTTCATGCCAAAATAGTCAGATTGTAACTATAAAAGTAACCTAAATCATCTGTAATGCAGAAATAGTCAGATTGCTTTACCATACAGCTAATCTAAATGTAATCCAAAAGTAGTCAGATTAAGATAATATAAGTGTGTAACCTAACAGATGACTGACTACAAATGTATAATCAGTAACTGGTTATACACCCTCAGTCATCCGCTCAGCTCTGGTTCTGTAGTAATGTTATGATGACATTAGAGAACAGACGCCATCATGAAGGTTTTCCAGAGAACATCAAACTTTATATCTGCTGCTTCAGTCATCTTTAAGACTTCATAAGAGCATGCGGGAACTCTGACACTGATTTACAAAAGGGATTGTACACACACAAACACTAAAGAGTCGTCTGGAATGTTTTTGTGAAGGATTTAATGCTAAATAATGGGGGAAATAAAGAAACATACATGCATATTATATAGATATAAATAGATAAATACATAAATAAATTAAAAACTAATTTAAAGAGAACTCTAAAAGCATAGCACACACACACACACACACACGCACGCACGCACGCACGCACGCACAGACACACACTTCTGAACTATTGGTTTAATCAGCTTTTAATAAAGCGCACTCTCCACCTTCTGCATGAGTCACTCAGCTCAGAGATGGAATAAAACACTCATGTGAGAGTTATCTGCTGTACATTTCAGAACCACACCACTAAACAAGAAAAGCCCAACAAACCCTGTGTGCCAAGGCCAGAGATATGCCAGAACATGAACACACACACACACACACACACACACACACACACACACACACACACACACACACACACACACACACACAGCTGAAGTCAGAATTATTCACCCTCATGTGGATTTCTGATCTACTTCCCAGATGATGTTTCTCAGATTCAGGAGTTGTTCACAGTGTTTCCTCTAATATCTGTTCTTCTGGAGAAAGTCTGATTTATTTATTTATTTATATCTAGAATAAAAGCAGTTTTTAACCGTTTTAAACTCATGTTAAAGTCAATATTATTCTCCCCTTCAGCAATATTAGTGTTGGATTGTCTTATCGGTGTTATCGGTCTACTTGAATAAATAAATATTGTTATTATATTTAACTGAAAAGATTTATGGGTAGTGTGTATCTGTGTCTATATAGATAGTGTATATACACTAACTGGCCACTTTATTAGGTACACCTGTCCAACTGCTTGTTAACGCACATGTATAATCAGCCAATCACAGGGCAGCAGCTCACTGCATGTCGGCATGTAGACATGATCAAGAGGATCTGCTGCAGGTCAGAGCGAGCTTCAGAATGGGGAAGAAAGGGGATTTAAGAGACTTTGATCGTGGCATGGTTGTTGCTGCCAGACGGGCTGCTCTGAGTATTTCAGAAACTGCTGATCTACTGGGATTTTCACGCACAACCATCTCTAGGCTTTACAGAGAATGCTCAGACACAGAGGAAATATCCAGTGAGCGGCAGTTCTGTGGGCGCAAATGCCTTGTTGATGAGGCCAGAGGTCAGAGGAGAATGGCCAGACTGGTTCCAGCTGATAGAAAGGCAACAGTAACTCAAATAAGCACTCGTTACAACCGAGCTCTGCAGAAGAGCATCTCTGAACACACAACACGGCCAACCTTGAGGCGGATGGGCTACAGCAGCAGAAGAGCACACCGGGTGCCGCTCCTGTCAGCTAAGAACAGGAAACTGAGGCTACAATTCACACAGACTCACCAAAACTGGACAATAGAAGATTGGAGAAACGTTGCTGCTCTGATGAGTCTCCATTTCTGCTGACACATTCAGATGCTCGGCTCACAATTTGGCCTCAACAACATGAAAGCATGGATCATCCTGCCTTGTATCAGCGGTTCAGGCTGGTGGTGGTGGTGTAATGGTGTGGGGGAGATTTTCTTTGGGTCCATTAGTACCAATTGAGCATCAACGCCACAGCCTACCTGAGTATTGCTGCTGACCATTATGATACACATATCTACATGCCATATACATATTCATCAGCGTCTGCTAAATGACTGACTACACATGCTCATCACAATCCAGCCCAACACCCAGAGATCTGCTGCTTTCTGCCTTCTGGGAGAGCTTTTCCTTTGGCAGGTGTACAGCGCAGGTATTTACAGCTCTGCATGGGCTTGGCGGACGCTGTTACGCAGCAATGGAAACTCTGTGTGTGTGTGTGTGTGTGTGTGTGTGTGTGTGTGTGTGTACTCATGGAAAAAAAGAGATCATGGCAAAAGGGATTTTCTTCCTCAGCATTTCTGGCGTGATTTCCGTGAGAAACATGCGTCCAAACATTCCTAACTCAAGACACTTTACATGTGGAGCTCACATATGATCAGATAAGAGGAGTACAACAAACAAACAAGCGCATGATTAGCCAAAAACAGTCGGAGGAACGAACACGTTTGAGGAGCAGATTAAAGTATCAAACACACTCATTCTCCTTCAGCTTAGTCCCTTACTCATCAGGGGTCACCACAGTGGAATGAACCACCAACTATTCCTGCATCTGTTTTACACAGTGATTGCCCTTCCAGCTGCAACCCAGTACTGGGAAAAACTCATTTACACACACACTCATACACTACGGCCAGTGTAGTTGATCAGTTCCCCTATAGCGCATGTGTTTGGACTGTGGGGGAAACCGGAGCACCCGGAGGAAACCCACACCAACACGGGGAGAACATGCAAACTCCACACAGAAACACCAACTGACCCAGCCGAGACTCAAACCAGAGACCTGAGTGCTGTGAGGTGACAGTGACACCATGCCATCCCAATTATACATATAAAATGCAGTATATGTCACAGAGAAAACTAAAAGGAGAAAATGAAACACTAATCAACAATACGAGCTGCTTATATGTGAGTGTTTCTGCAGGAAATCAGCTTTCACTGTAAATAAAGCTGCTCTTACTCTGACACTGAGTCTTGTTTCTAGTCAAAATATCCTAAAATGATTAAAGCCGTCAGCATTTTCTAGAGCAGCACTAAATATAGAGACGTGTTCAGGAATGACGAGTCAAGATGAGGAGAGTTTCCCCTTAATGAAGCAGAGTGATGTTCCTGACAGCTGAAGCGAGATGACCTGCGCTCTGTCAGATGATTATAACCGTACATTAATGATCATCTCGGCTCGTGTGTTGATGACGGTGCAGGAGTAGAGGATTCCTCAGCGCTGAGCTCAGGTAATGTTGCTCACACACACCTGCTGCAGGCCCTCGGCACGGAAAAACACACACACACACACACACACACACACACACACACACACACACACACACACACACACACACACACACACACACACACACACACACACACACACACACACACACAGCTTCATTTCACAACACCTGGATCAGCACACAGCTTCTGTCAGAGCTCTCTGACACACCCCCCACCCTTCCCCACACCCCCACACACAAACACAAATGCATAAACACACACAAACACATGCATTTGTACGCGCGCACACACACAAGACACACAAACACACACAATGTAATATAGACATTTAATACACACACACACACACACACACACACACACGCACAACACACACACACAAATGCATAAACACATACAGACAAACACGTGCACACAAAAACATTCAAACAAAAAAGTAAATACACTTATCTCTAAAGAAAACACATACAGACACACACGCGCGCACACACACACACGCTAACGCGCGAGCACACACTCTCACACACACACACACGCGCGCACACACACACACTCACACTTTCACACTTGCATGGACACACACACTTGCACTCTCATCCACACACACACGCAGAGATGCAAACAAACATTTGCACAAACTCACACCTGGCCACACACACACACACACACACACACACACACACACACACACACACACACAAACACACTCTTACACAAACACAAACATGTACAAATTAAATCGTGCGTGCGCACACACACACACACACACACTTGCACTAACTTACACAATCTTGCACACACGGACACTCACACACACTCGTAAATAATCAGACACTTGTGTGCACACACATGCACTCAATTACACAAACACACACACACACACTTCTGCACGGTGAAGCAAACACACTGAACATTGGCAGCACACCGCAGGACAGCGCCATCTGAAGCTCAAAACACTCACTGATGCTGCACTTGTTCAACTGACCAGTAAACGAATGACACACACACACGCACACACACACACACACACACACACACACACACACACACACACACACACACACACACACACACACACACACACGGGAGTCTCCAGCCCAGGACAGTGTGTTCCAAACACACACTGTTCAGTTCAATTCTGCAGAAATCACTGCTAAGTGGCTTGAGGAGCTGACAGAGAAGCTCTGAGGAAAACACACACACGCACACACACACACACACAGCAGTGAGGATCGAGTACTGTTGATCCCGCATCTCCTACAGCAGGCTCCGCTAGAGGATTGTGCTTCATCAGTTCCAGCTGAGGCCTACAGCATTCTCCCTCCTGTGATTCATTCCTTCATTCTCCTTCAGCTGAGTCCCTTTATTAATCTTTATTAGTGTTTTACACAGCGGATGCTCTTCCAGCTGCAACCCAGTATTGGGAAACATCCATACACACTCATTCACACTCATACACTACGGCCAGTGTAGTTGATCAGTTCCCCTATAGCGCATGTGTTTGGACTGTGGGGGAAACCGGAGCACCCGGAGGAAACCCACACCAACACGGGGAGAACATGCAAACTCCACACAGAAACACCAACTGACCCAGCCGAGACTCAAACCAGAAACTTCTGCTGTTGCTGATAATGCTGAATGTGGAAATCTAACATTATCATTTGTACAACCCAAGGGTGGCAAATAAACATTGAAGAGCCGAGACTCCCTATACACAACCCATACCGCCGGACCACCAGGGGCCGCCACTTGCTCTTAAACGTGAGTCTGTTCTGTGCTTTCGCTTTGTTTAGGGATGAAAACACTCTGAAATAAATAAAAAAACAGCAGGAATCCCATTCTTATTATTACAGGTGCTGTCGCCCCTTCTTACGCAATCCTCCAAACAGTCATTATTGACCTTATTCTAAAATGTGGAAGTGCGCCTGTTTTCGCGATTGTCTTAGAACTTCCGATTCAGTCGCCTATGGGAGAAATGACTAGGAATAATAAACGGCAAAAAATGGCCAAACTACTTGCTCAACAAACAAATGTTTGCATGACTACACAGACCAAGTAGCATAATATAATAAGAAAATATTACATTGCAACATCAAGCAGCGTAACGAGCAGTTGTTAACGTCAAAAAAAATGAATGGAAGTGAATGTGACCGGAAGTCGCGAGACAAAAAGATTCAAATGGCAGCGCCCACTCGTCAGCTGAGAATAAGGTGAATAGCGGTGCGTGACTGTCAGCTGACACGCTCCATACTGATAAACAGACACTGTTTCCGTAGACGAGATTTAAAGTGAAGCAAAAGTCTGGGTTTTGGGTGCGTGTTTAAACAGATACATATATACACACATAATTAATAATAATATCTAAAGATGTCGATCTTGGTGGAGGTTTTTTTAAACAACTAATTTTGCCCTAAATGAGCACACCAAGCCAGGAAAGCAGTCGAGTTCTTTCATTATAATGTGAGATGTGTGCATTATTAAAGTGACACCTGCTATTTAATGTTATCAAACGGAAAAACATCTAAATAACGGAGTCATTCTTTGCTGTTTAATCAGAATGTGTGAGTTATAGTGAAGAATCGGCTAATGAGATTTGATAGCTTGATCCTATTTCATTATAATCGCTATTCACGTTAAAAAGCTGAGAAGTTTGCTAATGTATTTGCTGCTAATGTAAACTATTTATTTTGTAAATAATAATAAAAATAAAACATATTACTGACCATTTAACGGTTTATTTACAATGAAACAGTAGTTTGGGGTTTGTGTGTGTGTGTGTGTGGTGTCGGGGGAATCCTTCATCATGGTGGGCATATCCCTTATTTTCACACCCCAGTGTTGACTGGTCTGATAATTCGACAGTAACATGGGGAAAATAAAGAGTACATAAAGCTGATAATGAAGGATCTCCTAAACGCCCTTCAGTGATCTGATTCAGACTGATTTGTTTAATTTGACCTCGTTATTTCTCGACATATTTAATTATTAATATCATAAACTGGTTTGTTTTTGAAACTTGCAGCAGCAC